GGTCAGCTTCTGGTCAAGGGCTATTCTGATGAGAGGCCGCGTTTTCGTGCTGAATGATCCAGACAGTGTCCTGCACAGAGCCAGGAAGACACATGAGCTTATATGCCTCATTTCAAACTGTACTGCGGGTATTTACAAACCTGCCCACAGCCTGCTCAGTTGCTGAATCCCTGAGCCTCCATGTATACCTTGCATGCCAGTGATACCACGCCTTCCCGAAGCTTCATGGCATCCGTGTTAGTAGCCCTGGTAGTCTTAAAGTAAGAACTCCTCAGTCCTTCATGAGGTGCTTCAGGCGCTTCTGCAGAATGAGGCAGGCGGCCACGTAGCGGAAGAGGTGCGGGCAAGAGAGTGAGATGCAGGACCTCTTGGTGGCCACTTTTTAAGGATCTCTTCAAGTACTCTCTACAGCAGCAAGGGCTCGAAAGTATAGCCTGGCACGGAGACAAGACATCGGTTCATGAATTCGTTGACTTTACACTGCCCTCTTCCGAGCATCATGAGTTATTTGGTCGTGCTTGCATCTTGACACTATCTTGACGGTTGCTGCTAACGACAGTGTTGAAAAATTCTGGACCGCCAGTCTGGGCCCAAAGCAAGCTCTTCTCGTTCAAGAAGAAGTCCAGCAACTTGACCTCCACCTTCTCAGCCTTTGTGACTCCAAGGCTTTTGGGTAGATGCGTCCCAGTCGCATATGAAGGGCAGGCACCAACTAAAGTTTCCAGCTCTTTTCGATATAACTTCCATCAAGCTTTGACGCTCGTTTCCTAGATTTTTCAAACTGTCGACGACTATCTACCAGCTACAGCGGGGGAGTTTAATCACATCACATCTTTTTGACACACAGCTGTCCAAGGGAACGCGCGCGCGCGCGNNCGATGAGGTCACATCATGGTCACATCAACATGGCTTTCTCCATGTAGATGCCGCTTCGGCAAGCATCCACTAGAAAATCACATTGACATGGTAAAAAAGCCATTCCCCATGTAGATGCTCGATTTGAGAAACACCCGCTCAAGACACACATCGGTGGAATCATAACACATCAGAACCAGCTATTCCTGATGTAGAGGCTCCATTCCACAAGCACACACGTAACACAAACATCAGTGGCAACACGGCACAGCCAAACCAACCTTTCCCAATGTAGACGCTGAATTTGGGTCCATCTGCTCAAGAGACACGTCAGTGGAATCGCAACTCATCCGAACCAGTTGTTCCCGATGTAGACACTCGATTTTACAAGCACACACGCAACACAAACATCAGTGGCATCACAGCGCAACCAAACCAACCATTAAACATACCAATGCTCGGTTGAGAAGCATGGCACACTGAAAACAAACATCAGTGGCATCACAACACATCCAAACAAATCTTTTTCATCATTGTGTCCCCGGAGCCGATCAGGGAGACCGAGACCACTGTGGCAGCAGAAGAGCTATTAGAAGAGCTACTAGGTCAGGTATCATGCCCCGTTTTCTCATGGGATGTCCTACATGGAACCGCGATGGTGATTGTCAACAAGCCCAAATCTCAAAAGACCTGGGCCCGCAACCTTTACTTTCAAGCCTCTAATGCAAATACACAAGACAATGGAAAGTAATTGCTACAGTGCGCTGGATGACAGCAGAAATATGACAGCTACAACTGGGTCTTGCTGCTGTTGTTGCTACACCACTATAGACAGAACGATTCCTCATGTATACTGCTGTAAACGCAGCTTCAGCAATCAAACCTCAACAATTCCGAATCAACGCGATCACGAAACTCCAAGTAGACGCTCAGTGATGCGACCCCTCCGGGTGCTTCCCATCTTGTGGGGTGGGAAGTACAAACAGATTACAATGATGCAACTTAGCCGTGCCACTGTAGCTACGATTTTTGCAAGATAACTCTCCCGACATGAATTGCGATGATTGCTGCCTGCTCCCTTGTTGCCTGCCCGTCGAAGCTTTTTCCTGAAGGCATGCATCTCAAGTCCAGACCGAAGTGCTGTGAAGATGGGGAAGAGCGACCAGTGCAGCAGCCATGTTCGCTGCAACAAGACCTCCTTCTTGGACATCTTCCTTGGAAGGTCTTTCTAGGGCAGCACGAAGTCGTAGTCATACTTGCGTGTCAGTTCAATACACCGAGTTAACGCACTTACCCAAGAGTAATGCCCCCGGTATGCAGAAGCACACCCAATTGAAAACATGAATCGAAAACTAATCGGGCAGTCATCGCAGCGGTGGCGGCGGTGCTGGTGGTGGCTTCAGTACGAGCACAAGGGTTTGTGTTTGGCTGTTAGGGGCTCCTGGCACATTTACCGGCCGAAGGTCTCGGTGTCTGCACCTAGATCGCACCTGCCTTCTTGTTCCTCTGTCCTGTTGCCGGGGCTGGTCAAGTGCCCTCTTCGGAATCGGAGATTAAACAGATTCGATCAAGAGAGTAGATTTCGGCCTGCAACAATGAGGCAGTTGAGCGAGGTCAGCCGCTCGCTCGAAAAGTGAGACACACAGGCCAAGAGTCGTGTTGTCCAGGAAGTCGTTGATCTTGAAGATAACATCCACGGCTCTCTCAGCTCCATCGGTGGCCTACCAGGCCATGCCGATGCTTTCGCATTGCGTACTATTTCGCATTCAGGACACTGGGTGGAGTGCATGTGCGACCAAAGCGGGGAGGAGTGGCAGTTGGTCAAGCAACTGCTCATATCGAAATACTGTTATGCTTCGCGACTGCGATTGCTACTGTTAGAGAAATTCGTCCTTCCGCCAGCGTTGCAACGGCGTCATGACAAGCAACAAAACAAGAACGACCACAACCGAGTGCAGAAACACACACGGACCGAGCGAGAGGGAGGAAGATGTATGTACCACTGGTCGGCATGTGCTCGTTCATAAACAGCAATAAACATTTCCTTCTGCATAAACACTCGCTGCGCTGTACTGTTGCAATTGTTTGTGAGGTCAACTTTCTGCTCATGACAGTAGTAGTAGTAGTAGTAGTAGTAGTAGTAGTAGTAGCTGTAGTCGTAGTAGTAGTAGTAGTAGTAGTAGTAGTAGTCGCAGTAGCAGCAGCAGAAGCAGCAGGAGTAGTCATAGTCGTTGTTGTAGTAGCAGTAGCAGTAGCACTGCCAGTCGCAGTAGCAGCAGCA